CTAATTTCTTTTATATCTTGACGACGAATGACAGTTGAAGATGTTAAAGATGAAAATGATAGGAGAATAACAAGGAGTAGAGGTGATGCTGATTGAGTGAATTTCATTTTGTGTGCGTGTGGTGTGTGTGTGTGTGTGTGCGTGCGAACGAGAATTGTAAGTGATCAGGTCTTTATTAGATGCTACAAATTAATTTCTTGTTTTTTTACCTGATCAAGTTCTTCTTTTATAGGAAACAAGTCAAATAGAAAAATAGATTCCTTAACTCATTAATTGCGACACGTTGTAACCATAATTGGGACCAAAATATCATGAGGGTCATTTTAATAATTAAGCTTTGATCAGCGAGTTAATTTCAGTTGAAAATGATAGAAAAAGCTAGTATCCAGCATTTAAACTCATCAATTACATGTAAAAGCTCGTGATATATAAATATTACATAACAATAAGCATCTAGCATTCGAGCAACCGTATGGATAATGAGAAAGGGATCTGTAAAGATTAATATTACCGAGAAATCAATAACGGTAGAATCACAGCCAAAGGGAGGGAAAATACAATGATAACGATGAGCAGATAAAAAATCATCCCTTTTTGTCCCAAAAATTCAATTCTATCGCTATCTGTGATTCATAAATTATAGGAACCAAACCAAATTAGTCGCGCATTTAGCGAAAATCTTATCTCCTCTAGGAAAAACATTAAGCATGTTATTTTTGATCCTTCCTGACGTAATGTTTCGGATTCCAACAAGCCACAAATTTTGCACATTCACATATGAAATCTTATAATCTGATTATATTGACTATGTATATTCAAGTTTGGATTTTTAAATACATGTATAAACGTTAGCGATTGACAGTAACATAGAGAGTAAGGACAAATTATAATCGCATTAAATTTTTTGTTCTACAAGTATTATTAAGAAATGTTTTTACTAAAAAAAAACTTTGCTACTTAATTTAACCTCAATGCTATTCTTTTAGTAATTAGAAATTGCGCCTTGAATCTTAATGATTTATTTTGCAGTATAAATAAACTTGGACTAAATTAAGGTTTAAATTTTTACAGCGGAAGGTATTTAAACAGTACTATGTGGCATATATATGTTCTTTCCAAGTAAAATCATTATTCTTATATGATAATATTTTTCATTAATTAGGGAACGCTTTTCAGATTTACTAGACATTTCGTTAGATAAGTGCTAGCTTTCGATCTCTCTCAATAAGACTAGTATATCTAAAATTCTACGCTGTGTCATATGTTGCATAACATTCAAACTCGTCAATAGATTGTAATTCATATCAAACTTCTTAATTAAAAAATAAATACAAAATTTCATTTATAAATCTGATCAAGAAATGCTTATTAGATTAATTCACAATTTATTGGCGAGTTTAGGTGTTATGCACCATAGTTTCGTTAATATATTTTATTAAGAGTGCATGTATTATTTTATTTATATCTATTCATAATACAATTTTGCTTATTCAGAGATCGATCAAATTTTAGCTATTATGTGTACGTATGTCAATATGCACTCTGTATTTTATATTTATATATTTCAAGTGTATTATAAAATATTGTATTAAATCAATATGACTTTATTATAGTAAGCTCAAGATGTGATATTGTAAGACAGGAGTATATAAAATCAAGCAATAATTCCTTCAAAATTTACTCTTTTAAGTAATATAATAGTATAGAATTCTTTTTATTAAAGGATTAATCTAATTGTGACAACTTCAATATTAAACAATCACATACCCAGAAGCTTAATCCTAACCCTAACTCAAGTCCTGATTAGCCAGTTAAAATATGGTTGATATAAATAACAGTTGTTACAAATACATTTATTCTTATAAAAAACATGAGTCAAAATAATCAATTACAAAATTGCCACAAGGAAGACTTTCCTTTTCAGCAATCACTTCAGCAACAGTTATTACCAGGTGATTCAAATGATGATAAGTCTGATACATTAAGCAAAAAGACAATAATATTCTCCATAATGCATATCTTAAAAAAGAGTATATGTACACATATTTTTTTTGTATAATTGACCTAGAATACATACACACTTATACGATATAAACAGTAATTCAGATTTAACAAAATGGCTATTTAAATTGTCTAGTTATATTTTCACCAAAGCGGACTTTTACACGCATACACGCATAAAAAATAGGTTCTTTGATGATAAATGTGTGTATTTGCCATTGATTTCTTACTTTTTTCTTATTATTTTATAACTTTGTTCGAGCAATGTTCTCCATTTTTAAATCAATTTACTTTTCAAGCTTTAAATAAAGTAATTCATCAGTTAAAAGAAATAGTTTGGTCGCTACCAGGATCGCCTGTTTTCGTATTTGCTTTAAGTTCCGATGTATCATCAGAAAGTTCAGATTTATCATGTGAAGAATACTATTGTGAAGACTGAAAATTTAATATCTTATCATGAAAAGCTTTCAATTCCAAACGCGTCTGAAATTATTATTGATAATTTATTTGAGTTGTTAAACAAACAACTTGATTACGAAAGAGATGTATCTACTATTGGCAGATTATTACAATCATCAACAGAACGCTCCAGACTCTCGATGTTTAAGCTTTTTAACTTTTCTATACAATTCTAAAGAGAAAATTCAATATTTGATATTCTTAGGATTTTTTTTATTATACTGGTTGTATAATAAATAAAAATTTAAAGTCTGCAGCAAAATTTTTCGAAGAGTCAGCAATAAATAATCATGCTATGGCGCAATATCTCATTGAAAAGTGTTATAAAGAAGGAAAAAGGAATACAAAGAGAGATTGTGAAAGCATTTCAGTGATATATCAAATTAGTGGAGAGGGGAGATCCTAGGGGAAAATATAGTCTTGGTTTCGCTTATCGTAATGATATTGGGACAGAAAAAGTGATAAGAAAGCATTTGAATGGTACTCGAAATCCACCAATGTATATGTGCTAGAGGCAATTTTATCTTGATCTGTGTTATCAAAATGGAATTGGAACACAAAACGATGAGAGAAAAGTATTCGAGTGATATCTGAAATCCCTTCATCAGTCAGCCGCTTCAGCCGGTGACGTTCAACATTCCGACAACCACAATTCCGACAAAACATAAACCCGACAACTGAAATCCTGAATGAACAGCATACCGACAGCACGAAATCCTGAATGAACAGCATACCGACAGCACGAAATTCTGAATGAACAGCATACTATTAGCACGAAATCCTGAATGAACAGCATGCCGACAGCACAAAATTCTGAATAAACAGCATACTGACAACACGAAATCCTGAATGAATAGCATACCAAAAGCACGAAATCCTGAATGAACAGCATACCGATAGCACGAAATCCTGAATGCACAGCATACTGATAGCATGAAATCCCAAATGAACAGCATACCGACAGCACGAAATTCCAAATGAACAGCATACCGATAGCACGAAATCCTGAATGCATGAAATCTCGATATTTAAAATCTTAATATTTCACTTTATTAATTCATTGGTATATCTGGTATTTCGTCCATTCGAGATTCTGTGCATTCAGGATTTCGTCCATTAGTGATGCCATGTATTCAGGATTTCGTGCTGTCAGTATGCTGTTCATTCAGGATTTCGTGCTGTCGGTATGCTGTTCATTCAGGATTTCGTGTTGTCAGTATGCTGTGCATTCGGGTTTTCGTGCTGTCGGTATGCTGTTCATTCAGGATTTCATGTTTCGGTATGCTGTGCTTTCGGTATACCGTGCATTTGGTATGCTGTTCATTCAGGATTTCATGCTGTCGGTATGCTGTTCATTCAGGATTTCGTGCTGTCGGTATGCTGTTTATTCAGGATTTCGTGTTGTCGGTATGCTGTTCATTCAGAATTTCATGCTTCAGTATGCTATTCATTCAGGATTTCATGCTGTCGGTATGCTGTGCATTCAGGATTTCATTTGTCGAGTTTATGGCTTGTCGGGATTATGGTTTTCGGGATGTCATACCAGATCCAGATTTTATGATTTTATTATTCCCATGTGTTTAACACAATAAACATAAGTTTTTATTTTATTTATTAAACTCGCAACATATATGATAAAATTGTCTCACATGAGAATTTTATTTTCACAATTGCTCGATACACACCCCTATAATAAATTACCGGAAATTTTTTCTGCATAACATCGATCATTTAAACGATTTAAATTTTTAACTTATATTTAAAGAAATTTTTATACATATAAACGAAAAAAAAAACTAAATAAAATAAAAGTATTGAATATGTAGTTATATTGGTTCAAATTTAAGAACCTATAAATTAATATGACGTGCTTTTTCCTTTGGCTTTAATAATCTTGTCTACACAATTAGGTAGACTTAAAATTAAATCGCGTAAGGTTTCTAGATTGATACTCATCCATTCCTCTTGTAATGCACTAATTAATTCTTGTTTTGATGTAGGTAAAGGTCATCTTTTTCAAATTCAGCAGTCCAAAATATCCCAAAGGTGTTCAATCAGATTAAGGTCAGGACTTTGGTTAACCCAATCTAAAAGTTGAATACTATGCGTTAATAGCCACCAAGTTGTATATATTGAAGTATGACATGGCGCTCCATCTTGCTGAAATATCGAGTTTGGATATTGACGAATCCAGAGTACAAAATAATTAGCAAGAACATTAACATAGATATTTGAATTCATGGTTTCTTCTACTAGTACCAAAGGACCAACTCCATCCCAACCAAAATAACCCCAAAACATCACAGATCCACCACCAAACTTAATAGTAGGTTTAATACATTTTTGATTGTAGGTTTCACCAGGTTTTCACCATACTCTTTCTCAGTCATCTGATTTAAAAAGCGCAAATCTGGACTCATCAGACCAGATAATATTTTTCCATTGTTCATCCCACTCATATTTCTTCCGGCACCAATTTAATCGATGAATTTCTTGTTTTGAAGTCAAAAGAGGTTTTTTTTTTGGAATACAGCTTCCAAACCCTATTTCATTTATGTATTTGCGGACGGTATTAGAATAGTGAGTAGTATTAAGTATGTCATTTATTTCATTTGTAATTTCACCAAGTGGAGAAAACCGGTTTTCCAAAACAACTCATTGTAATGCACGTTTATCATAATTGGTTAGAACTTTTGGTCGACTAGGACATTTTTTAGGATGCAGAGAGTTGGTTTCATAGTAACGTTTAATGGTA